CGAGGGGGCTCCGCTTCGCCCTCCTCCAAAAAGAGAGTGGCCCCAGGAGCGGTGCGGCTGTGCCGGCCAAGCCTCCCTCCGGCGCTCCCTCTGCAGACTCCGTGGAGCAGGGCGGCTGAGGCCGCGAGTGTGTACCCGGGCCTTAGCAAGGGGCGCTCTTGGTGTGCGGCCTCTTTGCAGACCGAGTGTGTGGCATGGGTGTTGAAACATCAGACGGTAACCACGAATGCCCTTGGTCCAGTCGTGAGAGGTGTAGTCGAACTGGACAAGGGGCCTGTTTCAGTGCTGTATAGTCCAGCTGCTCTTGTAGGTGCCGCAAAGGTGGATAAAACCCTATGAAGTGAAAAGGGAGAGTAAGCAAGGCTGTTGCTGCGTGCTGTTCGGTGCTAAGGAAGCGTTGTGTTCTTCCTTCAGATACCTTCTTAGCAAAGGGCTCTGCTACTCTGGACAAATTGAAGGACCTCTGTAATGAAGGGAAAGAACATCCTTCCATGCTTTTGCAGCTCTATACACAGGTAGTCTATTTAAAGCGCTAAGAACTCCCTTTAAAGAAAATCTGCTGTGTAGGTTACGGGAGAGGGTTGGGTGTAGGAAAGAAGGTATAGCAGAAAGGGGTCTCTGTTACTCGGTGTGTGCAGTGAACATCCATGAAGTGCAGTGCTGCTTTTCTCCGGGTTGGAACGTAGAGTCGCTAATAGTTGTGCTGGCATTCTAAGGACAGGAGCGGTTTTGAGTTTACCTTCGCTGTCAATCTTACCATAGCTACAACTTGCAACTTTTGTAAACTAAAGGTTAAAAATTAGTTTAAAATTGTAATGTTTTATAAACTGTAACAAGTTTGTTACTGCATACCACCATTTGATTATTTTGCTGGTAACATTTTTACATTGTGTCTCTTATTGTTTCCATAGGCTGTCTTAGACATTACATATTTTGAGGAAACCCAGCTTGTGGATGAAGATTTTCCAGAAGAATCTTCCTTGCAGAAAGTTAAAGAACTTGTTTGTATTCTTTCAGAACCAGAAGAGCTAATGAGGGAATGCAACATAAATGAAGAAGTAAGTACTAATGTTATTCAGCCCAAGAATTAATAATTTAATTTTTAAAAATAAAAAATCTGGAACAGGATATTAGTATTTGTATTTTTGATGGGCAGAATTTAAGATATTTTGAAAAATTTTCAAGACTTATTTGTATTTAAATAGTGATTCCTGAAAATATTTTTCTTAAATTACTTGTTGGATGCTCAGAACTTTTCTTGGTAACATTTCATGATTCTGTGTGCTTTTGGCAGTTTAAATCCAAAGTATTAGGTTTGTGTTTGTGACTGTTGTTAAGTACAGCCTCTAAAGTTAAGAGACTTACACTGTTCACATGTGTGAGTGTGTATATGAGTAGTTCAGATGGTTTACTTTTGGGTTAGCCCAGTTTGTTGAATTTTATTTCAGACCATCAGTGTCCTTGGTGCAGAGTTGTTAGAATGTCTTTACTGGAGAAAAGGAGCCCTGATTTACATGTATTGTCACACAGCAAAAGAAAGGAGTAAATGGCTACGAGAAAACATTGCCATATTTAAAAAGGTAAAGGAGATTAAAAAGTTCTATGGGCATGTGAGTACAGTTTTAGAGTTTGACTCTTCACTTTTAAAATACAGCTTTTTTTTTTTTTTTTTTTTTCCTTTTTAAATAGTGTTTTGGGAAATTAATAGCAAAGAAGTATTTCTGGTCATCATTAAATTAATCAGAACTTATCTAAAAGGTTTTTTTCCTCCCCCCTCATTTTTTAACTGTACTCAGTGTCTTAATGATGGAGTTCATTACTTGATGAAGATGCTTAGCTTTAGATGCCCTCTTCAGCTAAATGAAGATGTCTTACTTCAAGATAAAGACACAGCTATATTACTCAGTGAAGGTAAAAAAACCAACCAACAACAACAAAAACCCCACAACCCTCTCCTCTTAATAATTGCTCCACTTTATTAAATGCTTTATTGTGTAATTTTGTTGTTTGACTTCATTTGTGTTCAAAACCTGTCATTTTTTAGAAAAAAAAAATAAATGAGGTGGATAAGTAGGCAGCAGTGCTCTCCCCCCCACTCCCCTTTCTTTTTGACTCATGTATTTTAGGACGTGGCAGTACTCATTTTCTCTGTTTTTGAGTTCACTGGAGTAAAGTGAACTGAGATAATGGTTGTTTTATGCACAACATGTGTGTTTTACAACCATCCAAGTGTCCACTGACAACTGTTGAAAGCACAAATATGACTGCAGAGGGTGCTTAACAATCCCATGTTGGTCTTCCTGTTTAGATCTAAAAGAACACAGATAGGAACACAGAATTACTGACTTCACACAGGTAGGAAGTACATTTAGAATTGGTTAGATTTGGCAAACACTCTCTCTGCCTCCATTTTATGTAGCTTTATATAAGTTGCATTACTACAGTACATTTACATGAGGATCTGAGGCTGCATCAGTGTGGTGCAGGTAGAGTGATATAGCAGGAGGGGGTTTGTAAGGTAAAACAGCTGGTGCTGAGGACATGGAATCAGAATAATTGGGGTTGGAAGGGACCTTTAAGGTCATCTAGTCCAACTCCCCTGCAATCAGCAGGGACAGCTTCAACTAGATCAGGTTGCTCAGAGCCCCGTCTAACCTGACCTGGAATGTTTCCAGGGATGGGGCATCTACCACCTCTCTGCAGCCTGTGCCAGTGTTTCACCACCCTCATTGTGAAAAATTTCTTCCTTATGTCTAGTCTAAAATTACCCTCTTTTAGTTTAAAACCATTATCCACGTGATGCCCATGTTGTACACATGCAAAACTAGCTCTACTCTGGCTATGGGGGGGCATGGAGCACCTTCTTGCTTAATTTCATCTGAAAGCAGCATTGCTCCTGTTCAGCTCCACAATACAAAACCAAGTTCAGTAACAGATTTGTAGTTTTATTTAGCAGGATTTTTCTTTTCAGTGACCGTGGACAAGTATGTCACGCTTTATTCAAATACTAAAGCTGCTGCTGATTAACTTGAGTTATGATGATGCTCAAATGGCATCTTCTTTTACACTTGAATTGTGGGAGGCACAGACGCATTCTGAAATAAAGATGCATAATCATGCCTGCACTTAATGGATTGTAAAGAAATACTGAAATTCTCTAAGATAAATAGGCAAACACAATTATCAGAATAATATTTATATGGCAATCTTAAAGATTTTAGTGTTATGGAGGGGCAAAATGAGCAAAGCCTTGATTCAGGTTCTTCTCTGGGCAGTGCCAATCATACTTAAAATTTGGGGTTTTTTGGTGTACCCTTCAAATAGGCTTGTACTGCCCTTTTGGATTTTTTTTCTGAAAAATTTTGGGGTTAACAAGCTGTGTACTTGTATTGTACTTGCACTTGTATTGTAGACAACAGTAAGTACTTTATCTAAATTATTTTTGCAGGCGTATTTAGTGACACTCACTTACTGGCGATGATGTACAGCGGAGAAATGTGCTACTGGGGACTGCAACACTGCGGAGAAGGGAAGCAGGAAAGACTTGAGACCGTAGATTCAGTCTCTACCAGTGACCTGGTCTGCAGATCACAGAGCATGTCGCTGGATTTCCGAGAAACGGGCAAAAACATGTTAACGAAGTATGTGGCTGTGTGTGAGGGACCTTTAAAAGGCCAAGGGTGGAACACAACAACTGCAAAACAGATGTTGCATTACTTTCTGAAAAGCCACAACTGAAAAACTCTGATTTGGTTGTGCTGGCAAGAAATTTTGTGTGTGAAGAGCACGCTTAGGGAGGTGGTCTCTCTGCTTCAGTGTCTGACCATTCTTATCAAAATGTATACTCGCGTTGCATTAAAAACATGCATTCAAAGAACTCCTGGAATACAGGTCCAAAGTCTAATCAAGTATTTTTAGGGGGGTAAAAAAAAAAAAAAAATCCTCTACGGTGCCAGAGCTGTCCCTTCTCTCCGCTCCGCCTTCCCTGGCGCCGGCGTACTGGGACCGGAGGGGCGGTGGCGGGGTTGAGGCATAATGGCGTCCGGGGGAAGGGAGGAGCGGGGCAGTTTGGAGGCCGCTGTGCGGGATCGACTCCGCATCTTCCGGGAGCGCTGGGCGCGGGGGATCCGCGAACGCGGCGGTACCGCC